TGTTGTTTGTTAAGATTTCTCTGGTGATGGTTTGTTTGTGGGAAGAGATTATATGTTCCTTAATGGAGCCTTGTTGCTTATGCATCGTTAAACGCCTGGAAAGAGATGTTGTTGTCTTGCCTATATACTGTTTTTTTTTAGGCTTACAGTCCCCAAGAGGGCATTTGAAGGCATAGACGACGTTGGTCTCTTTTAAAGCGTTCTGCTTTGTGTCTGGAGAGTTTCTCATGAGTAGGCTGGCCGTTTTTCTGGTTTTATAGTAAATCGTCAGTTGTATCTTCTGATTTTTGTCTGTAGGGATAACGTTTCTACTGACAATGTCTTTCAGGACCCTTTCCTCCGTTTTATGGGCTGTGGAAAAGAAGTTCCTGTAAAATAGTCTAATAGGGGGTATAGGTGTTGTGTTAGTTGTCTCTTCAGAGGTTGCATGGCGTTTCACTTTCCTTCTTATGATGTCTTCCACAAAACCATTGGAGAAACCGTTGTTGACTAGAAACCTAGTCAACAACGGTTCTTGCTGTCGATCTTCCAGGAGAAGTTTTCGATTGCTTGAAGAGCAGACTTTGAATCACAAAATATTATTTCTCCTCCATTTTTTCTAATGTACTGGTAGCTAGTAGTAATGCTGCTAGTTCTGCTTGTGTGCTCAGCCAGTTGTTTAACCTGACACTGACAGTCTTTGTGCAAATATTATTTCTATAAAACCTACATGCTGCTGCAGTCCGTCCAGTAGAGGATTGGACTGAGCCGTCGGTGTAGACACAGTGCTCGTGAGATCTTAAATTCTCGATGGAGGAGGCAATTGTTTCAAGTGTGACAGCTTTGAGAAGAACAAGATTCTCATTATCTTTCTTGTTGACAGGTGTGTATGATACTTGAATGGTGGGGTACAGATAAAGAGAATATCAGAGACAGGTAGATTGCACTTAAAAGGAATGTTGAGTTTAATGAGGTTGTAGGCATTGTTGCTCAGCCACTTATCATAAAAGGAGTGAGTTGGTATGTCGGCACCAGTCAAAAGGGTGTTAACAGCACTAAATAATTTGTCACTGAGCAATGCAGGAGATGTAGGGTCTCTCATGACTTTAAGGCAAAAGGTAGTGTTGACTTGCATTATTCTCTCTAGTATGGTTGGAAGCTTCAGTTCTTCCCTCATGTTGATGATTCTTGTGCATCTTGGAGCACCAAGAATTATCCTCATGGCCTCATTTTGTACTACTTCAAGTTTGTCCAACACAGAGGAGGGGAAATTAATTAAGTGCAGAGCATTATAATCAACGAGAGATCTAACAAACATCATATAGAATAGTCTAGCATATTTAATATTGATACCGATATTCTTACTAGTAAATGTTTTCAGTGGTTTTAGTCTTTCTTTCATCACAAGTGACTCAAGAAGCGGCTCACATTCCTCGGTACAGGATGTAATCCAACCCGTCCTCTTAAAAATAACGTCACTTTTGGCTCGTATGCGCGGCGCTATGGGCAAATTTGGACGTAATTTGAAATGAAATCGACTCACAAAAGTGACGTACTGTTCCGTTTTCTGTTTGAGTCGTCCGGCCGACTCTGTAAGGTTAGAATAGATGACTTTCAATTCACATTTTTCATAACGTTTTGAAAGTTTATGAGAATTTCCGGTAATCATCCTGATCCACTCACCCATCCAGCGGGTGGCAGCTTCACCCTCACATCTTATGGGTGTGCTTTATATAGAGTAAGCAAACTTCTCATATACTTTACTAGTATTTTGTAAATCAGAGTATGTAAGTTTTTTTAATTTTCTCGATTTTGTAATCGAGAATAAAGGGAACACCCGCCCGCTAGGCTTCCAACAGCCTCTCACTTACGTTCATTATGCTTAAACAAATCCATTTGGACGATTTCCGTGCAGACTCGTTAGGCAAATGTAGATTCCTGTTTTTAAGTACATTTACCGCATGTGAATAATTGGTTCAGATACCCCGTTGGGGGAGCCACTTGGCTCCTAATAAAGTGGTTAAAGTGACAGCCTCTCTCAAACTCTCTAAAGTATCTGTCTATCTGTCTGTTTCTGTCTCTGTCGGTTGGTTTCAAAGTTTGTGCCTCTCAATCTCTTAACTCGCCTCAAGCCTCCCTGGGGCCCAAGTGACCTTCAAAGCTGTTAGGATAGTGGCAAGAGAAAAGCGGGAACTGCAGTTACCAGCAGTTCCACTACAGTGTCGAGGGTTGCATATAGAGAGGCTGAAGAGAGCCTTGCGTGCCAGAATTTATACAAATCCTTCCTACTCCACTTAACCACCAATCTCTAACCAGCCTACTAACTCATGCATCATGGGTAGCAAAAGAGGGTGCAGAGGCACTATAGGTGCCACTCACTATTGTGTGTAATAGATCACTGGAAACAGGAAACCTACCAGAAAGTGGGAAGACAGCTACCGTAGTCCCAATATACAAAATGTTGACAGGCACTGAACTACAGACCGATGTCTCTAACTCGTATACCATGGAAGTTGATGGAGAAGATTGCAAGAAAAAGCTAATAACACATGTGGAGAGAAGGTACTTTATAACACACCACCAACATGGTTTCAGGGATGGTAAATCACGTTGGTATGAGCAGTCGACAACAATTTGGCAAGGAAAAGAAGGCGGGCAGACTGCATTTCCTTACACTGTCGAGAAAGCCTTTGACACAGTACCCTATAAGAGGCTGGTGTATAAGTTATTAAGAACATAAGAACAAAGGTAACTGCAGAAGGCCTATTGGCCCATACGAGGCAGCTCCTATCTATAACAACCCAATTCCACTCATATACTTGTCCAACCCGCGCTTGAAACAATCGAGGGACCCCACCTCCACCACGTTACACGGCAATTGGTTCCACAAATCAAAAGTTGGAGAAACAGGCAGGTTTAACTGATACGGTGCTCAGGTGGCTAAGGGAGTACCTAAGTAATAGGAAGCAGAGAGTTACATTGAGGGGTGAGACCTTAGAATGACGTTATGTCACCAGCGAAGTCCCACAGGGCTCTGTACTTGGACCTATCCTGATTCTGACATGTAAATGATCTTCCAGAGGGAGATACTTAAGATTTATTTACTTGAGTTTAACTCAAGTAAATTTCAAGTAATGAAAATAGGTGCACGGAGCAGGTATCTAAATTTAGTTTATCGTTGATACATCATGCTATTGTGATTGTATCCTTCTCCCATAGTATTCTTCCTTATTCTTCTCCCACAGACTCGGGGCCCCGTCCCACCTCGACATTATCTCTCACAGCAAGCTATCACCACCTTATTTTGATATCCTCTTATCTGGTATTGCCATGAATTTTAATTTTTCCCCGGCAAAACCTTCCCCACCTAGGATATTTTTCTGGCATTATTATAAATTTCGAAGAAAATACTCACATTTTAATTTAATACTTTAATACGGCTTTCATTAGACGCCTCAACGTATTAATAACGTTGAGGCTACTTATGAAAGCCTCATTAATAACGTAGACGCTGTCGAACGCCCGTTGTCGTACGTGAGTTCGTAAGGTTTCATGTTTGGTCCAACATTTGATGAAAGACTTATTTCTGTAATTGTGGTTTCTTCTTCTTGTTTAAGATTCGCTACTTGGAACAAAAAGTTCCAAACATACATGTAGCAGATATGATAGAAAAAAATAGGCCGGGAGACAAGTACATTTGACATCCGACTATTAGAAAGGCAGGGTCCAAGAGCTAACAGATCCATTCTGCAGGTAGAAATAGTAAATTCAAATAATACAAACAGACACACGTACAATAACACATACACACATATAAACAAACATTTTACAACAACAATTTTTCAACAGCTCAGCACCAGCAGCCTAGTATTCAACAGGTCCGAACAGCTGTGTACCGAAAGTATATTGTCAGTAGCCTCGCGTCAACATCCCGACACCAACAACCAATTACTAACAGCCTTGTAACAACAACAACAACTCGAATCCTTTGAGAATAAATGCGCTGAATGTGTGATAGTGGAAAGGAATCTACCCGAGCACTGAAGTGTAAACGAGGCAATTGAGATGACACGGTTCTTCGCTATTTCCTTGGGTTTCCTTTTTCATTTCCGTGTCAGTCACCTCTTTCCATATTGCCTTCTGGCTCTCTTCCGTCTGTTTATTTCCCTTTTTTCTTCTCTCTTGTGTTTTACGCACTTTTGATAATTATCTTGAAAACATACACTTGCCCAATTTTTTTTGTTAACCATTTTAGAAGACCTATTATTTGTTTTAGTTTACTTTAAATGTTCCATAATTGCTTCTATGAATTTACAAAAACCTTTGTAGTCAGTCAGCATAGTCTCTTGGAGTCTACACGAGGACATGCAGTCTCCGTAGCCTCGAACAAGACTCTACAATAGACCTAACTACATATACAATTCCAGTTTATAAGGTTATTTGAACTTGAATGAGTAAATATGCCTTTAGGTTACTAAGTGACTCATGATTCTTTGTGGTCGGCCGAAGCTTGGACGAGCTGGTTGTGGTCTAGCCTGTGACTGTCTGTCTGTTAGACGACCAGCCTGTGTGTAGTCGTCGACAAGGTACCAGAGAAGATTTACCATTACATCTGGTCGTAGCCTGATTGGCTACATTCTGAATGCCACGCTCTGATTGGTCATAATCTAGTTGTTATACTTTGATTTATAACATTTGATTGGCTCTGATTGGTCGAGCTCTGATCGCCGTGCTCTGATTGGTTACATCTTATGTTGTTTTACTGTACACAGGACCAGTTCTGGACCCGCGTAACCGGTTATATAGGAACTAATATATGAAGTTGACCAAACCTTTAGAAATGGACGTATTGATAAATAGTAATGCACCATAATATTAACGTTTTCTATATATCGGCCTAGATAGGTTAAGTAGGTTGCATAGGTTCGTACGTTCCTGGTCAGGTAAAACAGTTACATTTTTAACGGAGTGAAGGGTGGGAAAAAAACGTTAAGTTTTAGATCGGGAAATTAAACAGTAAGTGAAAAATATACTTTTATTGATAATATGAAGGTTGTCGCTGTGCCCAAGGAAGCTCCGATCTCATTCTGGAAATAAAAATAATAAAATTGTTAGTAATACAATAATATAAATAGTAATAATATGCTTATTATTGTATGCCTATTACTATAATAATAATGTAGATATTTACATAAAAAGTCACAATTAATAATAATGTAAATTATGAGATTAATATAAATTAGGAGAATAAACCTTTGAATAAAATCATTTAATAAAACAGCATGAATACAATATAGAATAATTAATAATAATTTAAAGCAATAAAGTAAAGTTTCATTTACATAAATTAACATCAACAAATACCTGTTCCGCTCCCTTAAAATAATTATAATTTTGTTAATCTTAAAATGTGTGCAGATTTTAAATTCCAAATTCCATTCTCAAAAAAGGAGACCGTTTTTTTTCCCCCGGTTTGAAAGTTTTGGATTGAATGGAGGTTCTCTTAGGCAGTTTTATTTTCGATAATGACAGTGAGTTGGGCAGTGGACGGCCTTAGGAATGGTGAGTGGAACAGAGCCATATGGCGCTGTTCAACACAGATGGAATGCATTAGGCAGTGATGTGGTGGAGGCTGACTCCATACACAGTTTCAAATGTAGATATGATAGAGCCCAGTAGGCTCAGGAATCTGTACACCAGTTGATTGACAGTTGAGAGGCGGGACCAAAGAGACAAAACTCAACCCCCGCAAGCACAACTAGGTAAGTACACAAATGTGTGTGTGTAAATGATCTCCCAGAGGGTATTGACTCATTCCTCTCAATGTTTGCTGACGATGCCAAAATTATGAGAAGCATGTGCAGAATACCCCCGTTGAAGAGCAGAGGTGCAACAGGTACTCTGAGAGAGAACTCTATCAACATCAGAGGCCCGAGACTGTTCAACACGCTTCCACTACACATAAGGGGCATAACTGGCAGACCCCTCACAGTGTTCAAGAGAGAACTGGATAAGCACCTCCAAAGGATAAATGATCAACCAGGCTGTGACTCATACGTCAGGCTGCGAGCAGCCGCGTCCAACAGCCTGGTTGATCAGTCCAGCAACCAGGAGGCCTGGTCGACGACCGGGCCGCGGGGACGTTAAGCCCCGGAAGCACCTCAAGGTAACCTCAAGGATTGAAACAGAGAACAGCTTGAGGCTTCAAGAAGACCTAGACAAACTGAATGAAGGGTCCAACAAATGGTTGTTAGAGATTAACTCGAGCAAATGTAATGTAATGAAGATCGGTGTAGGGAGCAGGAGACCAGATACAAGGTATCATTTGGGAGATGAAATCCTTACAGAATCAGAGAGAAAGACCTGGGGGGGGGGGGGTTGATATCACGCCAAACCTGTCCCCCAAAACCCACATCAAGAGGATAACCTCAGCGGCATATGCCAGGTTGGCCAACATAAGAATGGTCATTAGAAACTTGTGTAAGGAATCATTCAGAACCTTGTGTACCACGTATGTCAGACCAATCCTGGAGTATGCAGCTACAGCATGGAGTCCATATCTCGTCAAGCATAAAATTAAATTGGAGAAGGTTCAGAGGTTTGCCACCAGACTAGTGCGCGAACTGAGGGGCATGAGCTATGAGGAGAGTTTACGGGAATTAATCCTCACGTCACTGGATGACAGAAGAGTTAGGGGGGACATGATCACCACATACAAGCTTCTCAAAGGAATTGATAGGGTTATCTTGAGATGATTTCGGGGCTTAGACACCCCGCGGCCCGGTCCTCGACCAGGCCTCCTTTTTGTTACCCATCCCCAAGATGTACTCACCTATTTGTGCTTGCGGGGGTTGAGCTCTGGCTCCTTGGTCCCGCCTCTCAACCGTCAATCAACTGGTGTACAGGTTCCTGAGCCTACTGGGCTCTATCATATGTACATTTGAAACTGTGTATGGAGTCAGCCTCCACCACATCACTGCCTAATGCATTCCATCCGTTAACTACTCTGACACCGAAAAAGTTCCTTCTAACGTCTCTGTAATATATACACATATATATAGACACATATACAGATGTGTATATATGTGTGTGCGTGTGATACGTAGTAGATATTAGAGAGGAAAGTTGGCCAGTAGTCAGTATATTAGACAACCGACGGTTAGAAAGGCGGGGTCCAAGAGCTAGCAGCATTCTCCTATAAGCACAAAATCATAATTACAAAACCACGAAGGTTTGCAACAAGATTAGTGCCAGAGTCAAGAGGGTTAAGATATGAGGATAGGCTAATGGAACTAAATCTCACAACCTACAGGATAGAGGAGGGATATGATCACAACGTACAAGATGGTAGAATAGATAATGTGTTTCTCGTCAATTTGAGAGAAAGTAGGACAAGAGGACACAGCTGGAAGATGGAAAGACAAATGAACTGAAGGAATGGCAGGACGTCCTCGTACCTATACAGCTGGTCACCAAGTGGAATGTATTGACAGGAGAAGTTGTGGAAGCTACCTCCATCCACAACTACAAAGCCAGATTCGACAAAGAATTCGAACGTGAGGATAGTTAAATGATACCACCAACCATCACCACCACCTGGTGGGGTCGTCGTGGTACCACCAACCATCACCACCTGGTGGGGTCGTCGTGGTACCACCAACCATCACCACCTGGTGGGGTCGTCGTGGTACCACCACCACCACCACGCCATCTATTGAGAGAAATCAAGACCTAAACACTCTCACAAGTCTCCAGCAAGATATTCCGCGCGATCTTTTAGACCACATAATGGCTGATAAGAGGCCATTAACGGCCATTAATGAGTAAAGCAATTGCTTTACTCATAATTGGAGCGGCAAATAGCCTTTTCATCCTCTTCACATTTATTCTCCTCTATATGAGAAAGTCTGCATTAAACGCACAAGCCACAGGTCACTAAGAACTCATATTTCACCCGGCCGGGATTCGAACCCATGCCGTCCAGGATCACCGTTGATCATTGCCCTGGAAACACAAACCGAAACTGTCTCTATTTTCCGCTTGTTACAACTTGTAATAAAGTTGTTACATCTTGGCTTAACGTGTTTATGACGTATTAGAACGTTGTTACAACGTGCTATATTGGTTGTTATAACTGGTTAGGAGGTGTTAAAACTTGTTCGAACGTTGTACCAACGTCGTAGTTTCGGTGTGTGTTTGGCGGGTGGTCATTTGCCAATGACGTCACACATTCCAGGCCTTGACTGATATTTACCAAATAATGCACTAATGAGCTCATTATAATCATTTGCATTATTGCCCAATATTGATGTCAATGACACGCCGTGCAACCCCGCTATAACTGATGTAACTGCTGATGACATCACAAACATTGCGTCATAGATGAGACGTCACAACCTGAGGAGTTGTAATAATTATTTTTTTATTTTTTTAATTAATTAATGACGTGTTGCACGCACTGTAGCGTCACAGTGTAGTCCTACAACGGAATACAATAATACAGCTAATAATAATAATAAAAATAATAATAATAATAATAATAATAATAATAATAATAATAATAAAAATAATAATAATAATAATAAAAATAATAATAATAATAATAAAAATAATAATAATAATAAAAATAATAATAATAATAATAAAAATAATAATAATAATAATAAAAATAATAATAATAATAATAAAAATAATAATAATAATAATAATAAAAATAATAATAATAATAATAAAAATAATAATAATAATAATAAAAATAATAATAATAATAATAAAAATAATAATAATAATAATAAAAATAATAATAATAATAATAATAATAATAATAATAATAATAAAAATAATAATAAAAATAATATTACTAATAATAATACAGGGACCAATTAGGTTAGTACTTTCGTGCTTGCGTAAAATTTCGTGTTGTCGTTAACCAACATTCCTGATCAACCAAAAATAAATACATAATAACTTAAATAACTAAATTAAATCATAAATGATAAATCTACTGCACGAAAGTTCTAATACATAAGTGGATATTGTTTAGATATTAAGCCAGTGAAAATATTTCTTGAGAGGGGGGGGGGGGGGGGGGGGGGAAACTCTCTCCCTCCCCCCCCCCCCACTTCTACTGCGAGGACTATACCTCAGCACTAACAACCATCACCAAACTACCACCCAACCCGTCCTCAACTCAAGTCCATTCCATCCAGCGGTAGACCCAACAGACGCATTCATAGATTTTCACATGCTGTTCATTCAAAACGGGAATTTTCTCAAGTATAAATTAATATTATAATATATTAGCATATTGTGCGTATATAGGTATAGGTTAGGTTAGTGTTTAGGTTCTGTTGGCGATTATTTGTATTTGTAGTACGTGGGTGAAGCATTTATAGCGTTGAGGTTCGAACAAAATTCGTCAGCGAACAACCCGTCCTCGACTCAAGTCCATTACATCCAGCGGTCGACCCCACAGACGCATTCATAAATTTTAACATGCTGTTCATTCAAAACGGGAATTTTCTCAAGTATAAATTAATATTATAATATATTAGCATATTGTGCATATATAGGCATAGGTTAGGTTAGGTTAGGTGTTTAGGTTCTGTTGGCGATTATTTGTATTTGTAGTACGTGGGTGAAGCATTTATAGCGTTGTGATTCGAACAAAATTCGTCAGTGAAGCACTTGTTCCGGATATGTTCGAACGTCAGCAGTTGTGAGTCGTGTGCAAACCGCTTTTCATTCATAAACAGGGGGTTTGGCTGGTGCATGGAATCACTTTTGAGTCTTCGTTTGGAGGACGGCTGCAGAACTAACAACCACCACCAAACTACCACCATCACAGGGAGCACGTCTTGATGCGACGAATTTCGGAACAACTATCCAGCGTAATTAAGTTTCCACAGTTAGAGTCTTAAGTTGACCAAACCACACACTAGAAGGTGAAGGGACGACGACGTTTCTCAAGTCGATTATAGACCTTCTAGTGTGTGTGGTCAACTTACTTTAGCCACGTTATTGTGACTCATCGCCTGCATAAGACTCCTAACCCTGCCCAATCGACGATATCCCTGCTTACCCCTTA